CCTCTTTGAAGCACATTCTTCCCCAATTTCAGCATATCGAGCTGAAGATATTTAGCCCATTAAACGACATCAAATTCTGGCATTGTTTTCAAAGTGAAATTTGGCATCCAGTACTAGGGCCAGAATTAAGCATTAATTAAAAAACGTTGACATACGTGAGCTGTGCAAAAGGTCAGATAAGCTGATGTAAGCCTATAGTGAGACCTTTATAAAGAAAATATTCAGAAATTGAATGGCCATGCCATAGATTAGAGGGACATGCGCACCGCTCTGTCAAATATCAACATGTGAGCCATCTGGGCTTGCCAGCCTCGCCACACCCCGCCACGCCCCGCGGCTAGGGCCTATCCGGCTATCCTATTTTTACGTGCTGACGGTCCGAGTGAGTATAGAGTGCTGCTGCCCCTCGAACGGACATCTTTGGGAGGGGGGGGGGTGAATACCGAGGGCAGGGAAGGCTCATATGAAAGGCCTTCTGCTTCTAACGCCCTGTCGTCGTCAGTCGTGTCGTTCAGAGACCCCTATGGTCGCGCGCGCGCGCGCGTGTGTGTGTGTGTGTGTAGGTGTGTGTGGAGATAGAGAAAAGGGGAAAAGGGGGGGGGGGTCCAGGCTGCACCGCAAATAGTCGGGGCTAAAATCTCAGAAAAGCTCTCCGTTTCAATGCAAGAAGCATTTCATGTAACAATTGAGTAAACACCGGTTCCCCCCTATTTCGACCCCGCTGAATCCGAAAATGCCATTTGCCAACTCGAAATTTCAACCGGAAGTGAGATATTCAAGATGGCGTCCAAAATAGCGCCAAATTTAAGTGGTTTTCTGCTTTTGGTCATATTTGAGCGTTCCAAGTGCCTACCCCTATGTTTTTCGGGTCGTAGATCACGATTATACACTCAAAAAACAATTTCGTACAATACATGTTTATTAAATGCCGTCATTTTAACCAAAATGCACCGAAATTCAAATGTATGGGTCATGATGCGTTTCACATCGATTCGTATGTTTTCGGGGGTGCTGAAAACGATTGTGCATTTTAAAATTAATTTGGACCATAAAATCGGAATAAAATGACCATATTTAACCGAAATACACCAAAATTTACAAATTCTGATGGCTGTTTTTGTATAAGTTACAATATCTGGGACGCAAAATACGTTTTGACGGCCAAATTTCTTCTTTTTAATCGATTTAACCTTGATCTGCCACATCCACATCGGGATTCATTCGTTATTTATCCTATTTTGTTTTAAAGCTTAAAGCTTGTCAGACAAAGCAGCGTACAGATCGACGGATACAACAAACATTCTGAGATCGAGTACCAATGAAGGGAACGTGCAAGAACTCAGTGTACTTCTTCTACCCAGATGAAAATATGTAATATTAAATAAGGAAATACACCGGGGAACCTTCGAATTAAGGTGGGTTAGATTCGAACCAAGTGGACCCCTGCTCACTGGAAAATCGATTGTGACACATGTCACACTAATGAAGTATTATCCGGTAAATCGGAAAAGAAGAACTATATGGGAGGAAGTGAAGCTAGATCAAAAGTTAAACTGCACAATGGTACCGGAAATGTAATTAAAAATATCACCTAGAAAATATTTAACAACCCACTTTGACAAAATTATGCATCGATTGGTGGTGTGACACCATACACTTGTCTTTCTAGTGCTATGACTCAAAAAGTGTCAACGACCCACTACCTGGGCACTACCGGCCTCTTCGAATTAGATGTATCGCATCACGGCACTGGTTTTCCATTTTCCCCGGCTTGAGATTAATTTCCCGCCCACAACGCTACTGATAGAATCTGATAGTAGTGTCCTGTTATATTAGCCTCACCCTCAGGCTGTTCCGAAAAACATAGAAGAAGGCCCGAACGCCTCTTAGACCTGTATTTTTCAGATCTTCAAGAGCCTTCAAGGGACCAGGAATTTTGCGATTAAATACTAGTCAACGTCATTGGTTATAAAAGCCGATCTCCGTGACCTGAGTCAACGTGAGCCAACTCCAATTAATTATTTAGTGCACATAAAGCACATTTAATGCGTCACCAATGTTTCACCCTTATTTATGTGAATTTCTACGGGCGCGCATTTAACGCGTTGGGCCGCCGGTTTAACGCCGGTTGGGGCTTCTAGCGAACGCTCAACCTGGCTCAAACGCAATGTGTGGGACGAAAGAATTCAAATCTACCAAAAGACTTCAAAATGCAACTCATCAACAACAGAAAAAGGTTATCACTGATAAACTAGTGTGCAACTGCTAAACACTTGTAAGTGTGCTACTGCAAATTAAATACATGCGAGTGTGCAACTCCGTAGTTGTACACTTACAAGTGTTCAATTCTGTAGGTGTGCAATTACTTGCAAATGTGCAAATCCTCAATTGAGCGCTACCTACACAGTGCGCGTATAATCTAAGAAAGTGAAGAAAGTCCTAGACTGAGGAATTGCACACTGGCAGTTGCACAATTGTAAGTATTCAACTTGCAGTAACACAGCTAGTTTATCAGTGCATTCAAGCTGTCTACAACTAGTACAGGGCTCTTTACCTGATCGGTTGTTTAATGCATATAAAACGTCACCGAATATTGATATGAAAGGAGAAATTTGGCCGTCAAAACGTATTTTGCGTCCCAGAATCATATTGTAACTTATAAAAAAACAGCCATCAGAATTTGTAAATTTTGGTGTATTTTGGTTAAATATGGTCATTTTATTCCGATTTTATGGTCCAAATTAATTTTAAAATGCACAATCGTTTTCAGCACCCCCGAAAACATACGAATCGATGTGAAACGCATCATGACCCATACATTTGAATTTCGGTGCATTTTGGTTAAAATGACGGCATTTAATAAACATGTATTGTACGAAATTGTTTTTTGAGTGTATAATCGTGATCTACGACCCAAAAAACATAGGGGTAGGCACTTGGAACGCTCAAATATGACCAAAAGCAGAAAACCACTTAAATTTGGCGCTATTTTGGACGCCATCTTGAATATCTCACTTCCGGTTGAAATTTCGAGTTGGCAAATGGCATTTTCGGATTCAGCGGGGTCGAAATAGGGGGAAACCGGTGTTTACCCAATTGTTACATGAAATGCTTCTTGCATTTGGATTTCCTCAAAACAAGACCCGACTAAAACGGACACCAGCCCGGAACGGTGTGCCAGCCTGGGCCTGTGCAGTAAATAAAACGCACTAACACACACACAGACACACACACACACTCGCACGGGTCAGCAGCCTGAGCGCGGGCTGCATGCGCTGCTTTGTAATTCTAAGCCCCCCTGCTTCTGGTCCGCTCGATCTCCACGCTCTCTGAACCTGGAGCAGCTATTTGTGTGTGTGTGTGTGTGTGTGTGTGTGCGTGTGTGTGTGCGCGCGCGCGCTGCAGCAGGGTATAGCGCCGTGGACGTGGTCGTCGAGAGGAGAAGGGGACGCGGCGGTGACGACGCGAGGCGCGCTCCTCGCCGTGCCGTGTTATTCTTTTCAAAAGAGAACAAGATGACCCCCCTGGCTGCATTTGCCTATCGACGCATCGGTAGCGGGGCGGCGCTGCCGTCACGCCACGAGAAGCCCCACCGCCGATAGCCGGCTGTAGCGCTCCAGGTCACCGCCCCGCGCGCGCGCGCGCGCCCCCCTCGGGCCCGCCCTGCCCCTTCTGCTCTAGCACGCCCCGCCCCGTCCCGGCAGCTGGTGGAGGCAGGGTGCAAGGCCAGGACCCAGGACCCGCTGCGCTGGGCCTTCCCTGTCCCGAGGGGGTGGTGGGGTGGGAGGACTGTTCGGTTACAGTACACCCTGGCGCGCGACCAATGTGTGCGGTCACTTTGCACACCGACCCGGGCCCCGAGCCGGGCCAAGCAGCGGTCAGAAGTGAGGCGTGGCGCGGGGCATCACGCGGCGACCGCGAGGTCCCGCCCCGTCCTGAGTTAGTGACCCCCCC